ATTTAGGATGTATAATATATAACATAGAATATATGACAGAGCTATAGTATATACTATGTAATATATAGTATGAAATGTATAATTTATACATTTTATATAATTTGATAAGATATATAATATGTAACTAATATATAGTAGGTAATATGATTTATAGTGTATCATTAGAATTGTTATAATATATAGTATAATTTATATGTAACTATGTATATGGTTATATATATTATTTTATAGGTATTTATTTTTTATATGTATCAGCATTTTTCTATATTTTTTAAACCAGAAATAGCCTTTAAAATGTATGACTATGGCATTTAATTACATACATTTTATGCTATATTTCACATTACATATATCAAAATTATCAAGTAATTTTTGTTTAGGGGGTGAGTTACTAAAATCTTGGCATCTTGTGATGCTAATTGCTAATACATGAAATTCTTCTATTTAGATTAAAAGCCTAACTTTCCCATTTAATGGGGTTAATATATTGTTTAAAATAAGTTACATAGCAAGGCTTTCCTCATGAAGTGGGTCAAAAAGGGAAGCTCTTTGTTCTGTGGGACAGGGGAAGGAAGGAAGCAAGAGGAAGAGTGAATTCCATGTCAGGAAAACTGAATCAGGGTTTTTCTGCCTGCCAGCTGCATGTTTGATGGTGTTATGTCAGTTTTTCTCCCAGGGTCTAAGTGAAGTTGTAAAGGATATGCCAGGCAGTTGGCTAGAGGAGGACTGCTGGCGGTGCTCCAACTCCTGCCCTCCCTGATGTCTCAGGAAGTTCTGGCACTCGCCATAGCCTGGGAGTTTTCCAACAGCTGACTGATGGCCTATTCATACTTCAAAAGCCCAATTGAAATTTCCTGACAGTTCAATATTTTGTCTGTATTAACAAATAAAATTTATAAAAAATACGTTTTTCCATCAGAATATATTATTATTGCAGATAAAACTTCCTCACCAGTTCTATTGTAAAGGGAATCACTGTTGCCCTTTCTTTAGCACATGTAAGTATTGTGGGAGCACAAAGCTGGTTGCTTATTTTCTATTTCTTCAGCCATAAACCCAGCACTTTCAGCCAAGTGCTGTTCGGTGGTTCATTGGAAAAGAATTGCAGATCTTCTTTCCCAAAAGGGATCTGAGCCTGGCTGATATAAACGTGTCTCATTTTCACAGAATCACAGAATCACAGAATCACCGACAGTTTGGGTTGGAGGGGAAGTTAAGGACCATGCACTTCCAACCCCCTGCAACAGGCAAGGGCATCTTCCACTAGACCAGGTTGATCCAAGCCCTATCCAACCTGGCCTTGAAAACTTCCTTCAAAATCTGAATGGAGGAAATGCAAAATTTACAGCCAGAGTGATTGCCTCCAATACTCCTTTCTGTATTAGTATCAACAGTATTAGTATCCTGGGCATGTAAACACCATACAAAATAGTAAGATGAGAGTTTTGAAGGAAAATTACAAAAAAACCCCAACAAAATAAAGGCCATATCAAAGTAACAGTTTTTGTAGCAGACATTTTAAACTGGAAACATTCTGTGGTTTATTCTTCCTCTAAAACCAGGTTTCAAATGCGTTCCAAGTGTACCCACTGTGTGTTGTGTGGGTTCACCCCACTTGTGCATGCTCATCTGCCCGACTCATTGAATTATCCAAGTATTGTGTTTCTAAGCAGAACTGAAGTGGGCTCGAGCAAGCAGCTGTAGTACAATTAGGTAAACTGAAAGTCAAGCAGAGCCAGGGTTAAAATAATTGTGTCTTGTTTTATTCTTCTCCTTGTTATAGGGCAAGTGAATTCAACTACTCTTAATTTACAAATTGTTCGAGAACAAGGGTCTGCTGGAAAGATTGCAGTTCAGCTGAGCACTTCACCTAACCTTGAACTACCCCTCTCCAACCAAGCAACAGAGAATGAGGATTACATACTGGAAAAGAAGACAATTATTATGGCAGAGAACATGATAATAGCTTTTATCAAAGTCACTATATTGCCTGTGAGTAGTCTAACTTTAGTAGGCTTTAGCTAATTAGTAGGCTTTAGCTAATAAGTAGTAGGCTTTAGCTAATAATGTCTTTTAAGGAAAGGGAAAATAGTATGATTTCTATACCAGAAATAGGATTTAGCATTCTAGAAATGGCTGAGGTGGGGTTCTTGCCTCATCAGATGGCAGCCATCACTTTCTGAAGAATTCAAGCACTCATCAATGAGAATGACCCAAATTCTTTGTTTTGTTGTAGTCCCAAAATTAACATGTAACAATGACAAAGGAAAAAATTATAAATGTTGCTTTTTCAACTTGTTACAGATTTTTACAGAAGATTTATTTTACTTTGCATGCTCTTAACATATTTATTCTGTAGTTCAGGAAATGCTATTTTTTTTTAACAAAAATATGTATATTTCTTAAATATATTCAGTATGGAAATACTGCTTTTCAAGTTCTGGTTTAGTTTCTAAGATCTAGCCAACTTTCTAATAGATTGGAGAAACAAGAGATAGCCAGCACTGCTTTCCACTGTTCTGACAGATCTGGAATCTGATTGCCAACTTCAGTTTCTAAAGCTCAGCAAAAGCAGCCTTTTTCTCCTTTCATATGGTGTAAAGCAAGGGGTTGCTTATATGGTCCCATGTACGGAGGGTTTTTGAACAGTAAGAAGCCTACAAGTAGTGAGTTTCCTGCATGTATTATAACTTACAGCATTTTATTTAAAAAGTGACATTTTTGCAGGATAATGTTCCAGAATTACAGGAAGGATTTATAATCAATATTACCGATGTGCGACTGCTTGATTCTCCCACTGGGGGCCAGCCAAGTGTGAAGAGGCTTGGATTAGAAATAGCTGAAATAACAATTGAAGAGAATGATGATGCCAGAGGAGTATTTAGTTTCAATGTTACAAAGGTAAGCCTGAATGAAAAGTACTTAAAGTAGCATTCCAGCAGGAGAGTCTGTGTTTTCAGACCAGTTTTGATGGTATTCTAATAAGCTTTATGACACTAAATTGTTCTGGATAAAAAGGCCAGATATCAGTCAATCTTAATTCTTCACAATTAATATATGAAATTTATTAGATAGCTGGAAGTGCCAGAACTAGTGTTCTGAAAGAGAGGTCATCTAATCTGAAAGGAGGTCATCTAATCCAGACTTTGCTCAGAGCAAGGTCAATACTGAATTCAGACCAATATACAAGTGATTATATATTTTTTCATTTAGTTTTACCTGCAAGTCAATATGCAAAATAAAAAACAAACAAACAAAAAAAAACAACAACCCAAACCAACATAAAGTTGCTGTGACACTCAGCAGTTTCTTGTTGCCTTTACAGGATATAACTGGAGCTGTTATTGGTTATGAGGTACCGCCACCACAGAATATACTTAAACTCCCAGTTGTTCGACAGGCTGGGAGGTTTGGGTCAGCAACTCTGTATTGGGAAGCCATTCATGCAACTGCTAGCTTTGAAGACTTCACACCATCATTTGGAAACCTTACATTTGCAGATGGGGAGGTACGTGCTTTCTGAAAGTTGAACTGTCTCTGGGTTACCAGCTTAAGAGTTTCTCATGTTTCCTTCCAGCAGAATTTGTGTCTTTTCATTGAAAACATTTTATTTATGGCCTTATGTCTGTGAATGATGCTCCTGACTTCAGTTCCTTAACAGGGAAATGTAGAAAGTTCATGAGCATTGACCAAATAGGGCTGTATTTGGTCAACCAGATGTTGACCAAATGTTGGCTAAATGTGTCTTCCACAAGTGAAGACGTAATTTTGAATAATAAAGCCTGAAACACTGAAAATTTGTAAGGTAGCATGTCTTTACTATAAATTCTGTATGTTTTCTTAGCTGGGTTCTACATATAATTTTAAATGTCATGCTGCCCCTGGCAATACTTAGTGTACAAAAGCAGTTTTGATTTCAAGTGAACATAACTGGTCTTTGGCAAATAGGATGTACTTTGTGAGCAGAATTTTGGCTTAAGTACAATGTTGTCTACTTGCACTTTCTACTGAGTACCAAAGCAGGGCAGTCCACTGCTTTTAGTATACAATGCTTAGGTTGGTGGACTTAAAAACCACTCTTGAAATTTTGTTATCTTATTAAACAAGTATGGTAAGAAACAAGCATAACTAAATAATGACTGTTTATCATTTTTACATAAAATTTACCTTTTTTTTCCCCAAGCTATTCACAAAATATTATAAATGAAACTCGGTTGCTCTTTTTTTCCCTTTTTTTTTTTTTTAATAATGTTTTCTGCAGGCTAGAGGAGAAATAGAAATTACAATCATAGATGACAATGAAGTGGAATTTCTTGAGATATTCAGAGTTGCCCTGGTGAAGGTAACAGGTGGTGCAAGACTTGGGGATGACACCCTGGTAACTGTTGCTATTCCACCAAATGATTCCCCTGTTGGAGTATTTGGTTTTGAAGAAAAGAAAGTGAGTTTGATTTGGATTGCACTCTTTTCTGCTAAAGCTAGATAGTGAGTTTGTGTCACTAACACATAGGTGATTTTGGTGAGCCTTCATTGCAGTGGAAGACATGACTTCATTGAAAGCCATGTTAGCGCTTGTCTTCATCTAGCTGTGTAGAATGGCTGTAGCAACAAAACTGCTGCTGCATAAATGTAGATTTCTGCATTACTGAATCAATTTAATTTAATTTACTAAAAAATCAGGCCATCCAAAGAAGTATTTTGGCAGTCTGATGATATTAAAATGGTTTTGTAATAATCTGTATTGATGAAAGTAAAGTTAGGAAATTACAAAAGGTATTTCATATTAGTTTTTGTCAGTGAATGATTGTGCTACTCTCAATCTTGCTGGTGCTATGCCTGTTTGTGACTCACTGTAATTATTTTTAGTCATAGAGCATACAGAAATAACACAAGTGACTAATCTTTGATAGCACAATTCAGTACATCCCTTACATCCATTATCTTCCTGTTGATTTTCACTGTTGTCCTTATTTTACATTGTCATTGATGATGTCTTTTGTTGTTTATCTCAAGTCAGTATTGATGCATTTTGCTACAGCCTTTCCTACTTTTTCCTCATCTTTCTTCATCAGGTAATAGTGAAGGAACCTCAGACACCTGATGACTCTGCTGCAGTTGTATTGCTCACTGTAAGTCGAAGTCATGGAGGACGAGGAGAAGTTAAAGTGTTATGGATTCTTGAGGAAGCAGCCAGATATGATTTGACCCCTTTGAATGGTACCCTTCACTTCAATGAGGTATTTCTGATATTGCAAATAAGTGATTTACTATTATATTTATAAATAGTTTCTTCTTACTATGCGTGGTTTTGTGGTTGCTGTTATGTGTTTATAGCAGCATGGGGTTGCTAAATACTGTAACACTAGGAAAAGGCCAGTTTGAACCAGTGGAGTTAGCAGTGTGCAATGGTTTGTTTTTTTTTTTTTTAAACAAAGCCAACATGCTCATTTTAAGGCAGCACAATGTAATAATTAGGAAGATGGGCTTTTCAGATCTGAGTTGTTATTTCAATCAGAAAGAGAAACAAAGTTCACTGAATGTGAAGAATGATTACAGGAACATTTATTCCATTGCAGTGTCAGACAACTGCAAGAGAAAAATTGATATTGAAAGGGTGAGAAGGCTAAAAGAATCCTCAAAATTTGCAGATTTAAAAAAATAAAAAATAAAACACCCTAGTGACTTTCAGACTGAACAGTGTGATTTGATTTGTGTTTCATGGCAAGGAAAAGCTCCAAAGTAGGAGCTGAAACACTGAATATTGTCAAACTATTGTTATCTTAATATTGGTCTTTTATAGGCTACTCAAAATATTTAATGAGGAAAAGTGTTTTAATATAAAACGTAATCTGTCTGTACAAGGCTATTTTGCATAAAATAAATATGCATACCAGTAGTTTCTTTTACTTTTAATCAGCTGGAAAATAGCTTTTTTTGGTAAGATTCACGTATTTGGGAAAGTTTTCCTGTCATTTTTTGCTATCCTTTCTCTGCTGATAGGCTAAATACTGTTTTTTGTCCCTGAAGGTCTTGTACATGCATAGCTGTAAGAATACAAGTATGTATATATGTTGTACTAAAAATATACAATGTGTACCTATTTTTTTCCTATATTTTTATCTTGGGCATTTGCTGCTGCCCACTGCCAAAAATGTGGATTAGACAGGAATTTGCTAGGACCTTATATATCTAACCTTAATAATGTTAGTCTTTAGAATGTATGCATACTATTGAACATGCTCTTTCTGATGGAAAAAATTTTGTATAGAAACTTCCCTCTAGGTTGAAGATTTCTATATGAATACAATTTCAGAGTAATTTCAGTTGTTAGTCAGTTGAAAATAGCCAGGATATTTCTGGGGAGCACACAATGTTTGAGAGAAAATTTGTAGTATTTATTAAGCTGTGAGAAAACATTTCAGCTAGATCAGAAATATCATATTAAAAAAATATTACAGAATATATTAAGCATATGCATGTTTAACACTTGATTTGTTAAATAAAAAAAACCCCTTTTTATAATACTATATTTTGTTCAGTTATAAATACTTACTCTATTTATGTATCTTCTTATCTTTGCACAATACAGACTGAATCCCAGAAGTTGGTTGTTTTACATGCGGTACAAGATGGTCTGCTGGAGGGTAATGAAACATTTACCATACATCTAGTCTCTACTGGTGATGCAGAGATATCCCCTGTAAATGGTAAAGAATTAATTCATTACCTTCAATTTTGAGTAATTTCATATGACAATTCTAGTAAGCCTGTTCATATTCTTTTAGTCTGCAGTGCTTATGTATTTTGTGTACAGTTACTTGGTAGCAGTTTTGACTGATAGTCTTTTTCCCTAAATTATTTCATCGTCCAAAGAAATCAAAGAGAATCTTAGATCATACTTTTTTATTCTAAATTAATTTTTGGTGTAAGGTTTTGTGTTAAGATGGGTAACATTGTAAAGAATTCTTTAACAAAAATAAGCAAACCAGGTTCAGACCTTTTCAAATTGTAGAACAATTTTGTTTGTAAGGGGGGTCATCTTAGTTGCAAACCCTGCTCAAGGAACAGAGACTTCACAATTAGATTAGGCTGCTGTATGCCTTGTCCACTCAAATTCTGAATGTCTCCCAGGACAGGGAATTCCATGGGCTCTCTGGGAAGATGGCACTAACCACTCATATCACAAAATTTACCAAAGTTAGCTCATTATTTAATTTTCATTTACTATGAGAAGCTTTGTTCTTTTCATAGGTGTTGCAACCATCATTATTGTGGGTGATGAAGGAGCTTCTGGGGTGGTTGGGATAGCCCATTCATCCAAGCATGTTCTGATTGGAGAACCTTCAGGAAATTATAATGGAAGTGCTCTTATTAGGTGGGTACATCACTCATTTTCCCAAAGGAATGACAAGACTACCATTTCAACAGCTACATGACTTCCCATTTGGCAAGAATTTGTTGAGTGCTGCATTTCATTATCACTTCTAAAATCAGAACTATTTTTAAAATTACATACTTGTTTTTAAAGAAGGGCAGAATATGTTATGTGTCTTTTCAGTATTACTGGAAAGCTCTAAATACTACCTTCAGTCTTCAGATTACTTACACATTGATGCATCAAAGGAAAGGATTCTAGTGAAAGAAAGGAGGAAGGGGAAACAATGACTTTTGAAGATACTTCATGCTTTTCAGGATTGGTTCCTGAAGTGTATTTCACTATACTGCTACGATGGCTAGCCTAACCAAAGAAGGAACTGGGTTTTCAGTTGGAACAAGATGCAATTATTTCACTGCATTCAGTCAATTTAAAAGAGGATGAGTAAACAAAGATGTTCACATACCTTCTAAGAGTACTGGAAAGAAGGATTACAACACTTTCCCTTGGTGAACCAGCAAATAAAAGCAACAGAATAGCTTCTTACGCTACGCTGAAAAGCCCACAAGACAAAGTGATGCCTTGTGCAGCAGCTGTAGATAATTTAGTAGATTGTGTAAGGTATGGACAAATTTTTGCCATGACTTTGTTCACCAAGACTGATGTTATGATCAGAATTAGGCTCTATTTTTTTTAGAAAAGCAGCAGACAAAACATTTCTCGAGTGATCTCATAGTAGTATTCTAGTGTCCTTCTGCCTTAAACCCCAAATTGCCTCTAGGCATTACCCTTAAATCCCGTTTTCCTTTTGTGTGCCTAATTCCAGAAGAGGAGAATGGAACTAAGAGAGCTCAGGTATCAGCCCCTGCATTTGGGCTATACATATGCAAAGAAACCTTAAAAGAGACCTTAAAAAAACTCTTGGTAAAAATGCAGCTCTAGATACCTCCCAAAACAGGTAAACCACACAGAACAGAACAAATGTTATTGCTCTGAAAAGGGAATTTTAAAGATCTTAATAGTACTTAAAATCTTTACAGATCTTTAAAATCTCAGTAGGCTTAGTACATTTAAATTCGAGCCTCACAATGCTGATAACGTTTCTTTATGCAGAACAAGATCATATACTGTTTGTCTCTGGACTGGATATTAAATATGAAACATAGAAAATAAAATCTGTGTTTTCATTCTTATCTGCAGCCTGACACGTGGTCCGGGGATTTCTGGTGAGATCATTATACATTGGAATATAACACCTTCTCATCACACAGAATTTGTTGAGACATCGGGGACCTTGACAATGCGAGACAGGCAGTCTGCAGCAGTTGTTCTGATACAGGTATATGAGAGATTTTACATGACTAGCTATTTCAAATAATTCCTTTTTGTTTTGTTAGTATCTTGATTAAAATTAGTTTCACCTCTCTCCCTGGAAATAGTTTAAATCCTTTCAGTTTTCATTTGTTCTGTTCCCTAGACTGTAGATGACAACAGTCCTGAGGAGAAGCGTTACTACCAGTTTCAGCTAACTGGAATTAGTGATGGAGGACTCATAAATGAATCTAGCAGCACAGCAAATATTACTATGGCCGCCAGTGATTTTCCATATGGAGAGTTTACATTTACACGGGAACTACTCCAAACAACAGAAGAAGAAAAATGGGTACTAAATAAAATTCCTTTTTATGTAAAATATTGATATATGTTAATATTGTTGCTAGATTTATGCTTAACTTTAGGAAAAAAGAATCAAAGATAGTCTACATTTCTCAACACAGTCTGAGAATGGCTGGCTGTACTTCTTGGGTTTTTTAATACTCCAAGAAAGAAGGGTACTTGCAAAGTTATGTGCACTCTGTACTTACTAAACAAACTGTTACCTGAGAGAACCATTAAAAAGATGCCTTTAGAACAAGCTCCTAAAGGCAACTGTCACAGAAAAACAAAGCTATTTTTTTAAAGAAAATGTTCTCTTTCCCTCAGGTTAACATCACTATTGTGCGTTCCAGGGGATCCTATGGCAAAGTGCGTCTTTGCTTTCAGATAATAAATGGGACTGCAGAGGAGGGAATTGATTTTACTCTCACAGCAAGGGAACTGTTTTTTGAACCACATGAGGAAAGTAAAATAATTTTGGTTGAAATCTATGATGATGACTTTCCTGAAGGTCCTGAAGACTTTTCAGTGATGATTACCAAAGTGGAACTCCAAGGAAGGTAAAGACAAAAGTCCCACTTGATTGATTACAAGCAGAAGAACAAACTGTATTTGGAATCTAATCTACCTGCATAAAATCACTGCTGTAAAATTTCATAAAACAGCTATCATGGTAACTGTAATAGAAATTGGGTGCATGGGGAAGCAAATTATTTAAATATTAGTATACAGATTTTGCTGATTAAGATTTATTAAAGCTAAAAGTCCATACATACATGCAAGTTGCCAAGTTTCATGAAATTCAAATAAGAAGATCAAATGAGAAAGAAAAAAAGAAATATACATGTTTGTGTGAATAAACTACTCTTTCTGCTTATATAATAGTTTGAAAAAGTGTGACCAAAAGTCTTCAATGATAACTGTCAGAAAATGAAAGTATTTGTGGTAATTAAAAAATTTACATGCCTGCATCTTAATACTGTCACAATAATTTTTTATTTTCTTTTTTTTTATTTTTTTTTTATGTTCTTGCAAGTGGATTTGATTTTACCATAAAAGAAAATGGTCTACAGCTAGATCAACCTCCAATAATAGGAAATATCTCCACAGTACGAGTCACTATTGCAAAAAGTGATAATGCGGAAGGCATCATAGAATTTGATCCACAGTATATCCACTTACAGGGTCAGTTTACTTTCAGTTTTCACTGTGGTTTAGAAGATAAGTCTGTGGCTGTGGCATAACTTTTGAAATAAAATTACTTTTTCTTAATTCCTCTTGCAGTGGAAGAGGATGCTGGATTAATCATGATTCCAGTTGTAAGGAAGCGTGGAACTTATGGCGATGTAACAGCTGATTTTCTTTCTCGAAGTATTTCTGCACTTCCCAATGGTGTTGACTATGTCATCCATAATAATTCTGTAATTTTTTATCACGGCCAGAACCAGACTTTTATTTACATCTCTATTATAGATGATGAAGAAAGGTAATTAATTTTTCAGATATTTATTACCATTTTACTTCTGAGAAATCCCTTTTTTAGCATGTGCAGCATGCCTGTGTGTAGAATTGGAATAAAAAAAAATAATTCTGCAGTGCTGAAAAATCATCTTAATTTAAAAAGGTGGAGGGTAAAAGCACTATTATTAGGGTTTCATCATTCCTGTTTGTTAAATTTTATGCAAAAAATACATTTTTTAAATTACATTGCCAGAAATCTTGGATGTTAATAGTACTGCTATGAATAATAAAATATTCTGCCATATTTAATTTAACATAAGTAGAAAGTAGAACATTAATTTTATTTCGGATATCACCATTCTATGCATGTGGGAGGAATCTTCTGCTGTATGCTTATGGGGATGATTTCTGTACACCTTTAAACAGATCCAGCTGGGTGCATGGCTGAATCACTAAGAATAATTTTAATTATTTTCTTTCTCAGATATCTCAGAAACACTTTTTCTTTTTTCATGCAGTGAATTTGCAGAGCTGTTTGAAATCCACCTGACAGGAGCCACTGGTGGAGCAGTCCTTGGGCTTCACCTAGTGAGCCAGGTCACTATTGCTGAGAGTGACTCCCCCAGGGGTATCGTCCGATTTCTCAACCAAAGTCAAATTATTCTTCCCAACCCTGATACACTTACAACAGTGTCCCTAGTGCTGGAAAGGACTGGAAGACTGTTGGGGGAGACACAGGTGGGCCCTTGGCTCTCAAAGACTGAATGCTTTCCACTGACCGGGTCAAAAAGCTCCTACTTTTTTCTTCAAGAGCCTATTTGTGATTGATTTCTACTAGGATAATTGCATATATCTGCAGTATCACAGAAAATGTTGTTGCCCTTCTAATATTGTCTTTCTTCTCCTGCTTTCTTTCTTTTATTATGGTCTTTTGTGCTTTTTTTTTTTTTTTTGAACTAGCTGACTAATCCTGTTGAAAATATGGTTTAATACACCACTATTAATTTAAGTCAGACAAATTACATAGGTTGCATTCTCGCACCGACCTTATTCACAATCTTCTTCAGCATGATGCTCCAAAGGGCTACAGCAGACCTCGATGAACAAGGCGGCATTTATATTCAATATCGTACCGATGGTAGCCTATTCAATCTAAGGTGACTGAAGGCCCACACTAAGACCCTAAATCATCTTGTCTGTGAACTGCTCTTTGCTGATGATGCCGCCCTTGTTGTCCACACAGAAGCAGCTCTGCAGTGTTTAACATCTTGCTTTGCGGAGGCGGCTGAGGTTTTTGGGCTGGAAGTCAGCTTGAAGAAGACAGTAGTCCTCTACCAACCTGCACCCCAAGAAGATTATTACCATCCCCATATTACCATCGGCGAGTCAGACCTTAAGACAGTTCAGCAGTTCAGCTATCTGGGAAGCATCACGGATGCCACGATTGACAAAGAGATAGACAACAGAATAGCAAAGGCATATAGAGCCTTTGGAAAACCCCATAAAAGAGTCTGGTGTAATAAACACCTGAAGAAAAGTACAAAGATCAGTGTCTACAGAGCCATTGTATTGTCTACTCTTTTATATGGGTCTGAATCATGGGTCATCTACCGTCATCACCTGCGACTCCTGGAACGCTTTCATCAGCGCTGCCTCCGTACAATTCTAAACATCCATTGGATTGACTATGTGTCTAATGTCACTGTCCTCGAACAGGCAGGGGTCACCAGCATCGAGGCCATATTGCTGAAATTGCAGCTGCGCTGGGCAGGGCACGTCTCTAGAATGAAGGGTCACCGCCTCCCCAAGATTGTGTTTTACGGTGAACTTGCCACCGGTAGTCGCAAGAGAGGTGCCCCAAAGAAGAGATATAAAGACTCCCTGAAACAATACCTTAGCCTTGGCCATACTGACTACCATCAGTGGTCCACCTTGGCCTCCAATTGGGAAACTTGGAGGCACACCATACATAATGCCGCTGACTCCTTTGAGAGTTCACGAAGAACTAGTCTCGAGGAGAAAAGACAATGCAGGAAGAATCGTGCCCCACCTGTTCCACCCAAGGAGACCTTCTGCTGTGCTTTTTGTAGCCGGATTTGCCTATCCCACATTGGCCTTCTTAGTCATCAGCGCGCTTGTAGTAAGCGTGGGTAAAGCCCTTCCCAAATCTTTGTTCGCGAAGTCAAGCCATGATGATGATGATGATGATGATTAAGTCAGACAAATTACATAGTAAAGCTAGTCAGTTTTTTTCAGTAAATTGTTTACTTTGTGTTTTCTAGATTTTTCTATTTTCTTTTTTTTTTTTTTTACTCTATAGTGACCACTGACAAAGTGAAGTTAGAAATATGAACCAGGGCAGGCCTTCTACAGTCTTGGCAAATGACTGGAAGATTGGCATTAAAGCCTCCTACTCCACCGCTAAAAATTGCCTTTGTCTTCTTTGACTTATTCTAGAAGTCACTGAAGAAAACTGGAAAAAAATTAAATCGCCAAACTAATAATTTTAAAGTGCTGAATATGGTTTCCTCAAAGGCAATCTAATTTATGGGAAATTTAAAAAAATACTGTAGCTTTTAATCATTCTGAAAAAGTAAGAATCATAATTTAAAATATTAAAAACTTTTATTGAAGGAAATATTTGTAATTTTCAGTCTTGATATCACACCACAGGAATGGTTTTGATTGTGAGTACTCATTTGTGGGACTTTGTGACACAAATGATGGAAGAGAGAAATACAAACTGGCCCATGTGTTTCCTGTTAAGTGCCAAAGAAATCACATTTTCACTTTTTATATATACTAATACTTAGAAATTAATAAACAGGCACTGTGTTTAACTAACTTCTAAATTTCATCTTGGAATGTGTAATGTTTATTATGACTATATATTTTACCATATAGAATTCAGTGTGAATATTTTGAGTTCTGTATTAGCAAAGACATACCTATCTAGTTACCAGATAGAAGAATGTTTATGTCACTTGTGGTATTCTGTCATTTCTCCCCCTGGGAGGCCATTATATCACTGCTCTAAATCTGAAACTGGTATTGTCCACAGATTAATTGGGACATCTTGGGACCTAATTCAGAAGAGGTTTTATCTCCCATGAATAGTGATGTTGGTGACCCTGTGAATGGATCATTCTATTTTGGAGAAGGAGAAGGAGGGCTGAGAATTATTAATCTACAAATCCATCCTCATACTGAAGCTGAAGTTCAGGAGACCTTCATTATTAGACTGATACTTATAGAAGGGGAAACAGAAATAGATCCTAAGGCAAATAGCATTGCACTAATAGTAAGTCACTGTTGCTTTTTTTTTTCCTTCTGAGATCTCTGTTGACACTCTGTTGACACTACAAGCTTAAAACTTGTAAAATTAATCATAATGATTGCACAGCTTGTCATCTGGCTTTTTGTCATTGTACTACTTGTTACAGCTTCAATTCTTCAAAAAAAGAAAAAAGAATTTGTCAGTAAAAATTGTATGTAAGTCCTACTTTGGCCCTTTTATTTGCAGAATTCTGTGGTTCTGTTTGTAGAGAGCATGGATTGGGTCCTCTTTTATACATACCAGTTCATTGTTCTTCCCTTCTTGACCTCTTCTTCCCCTCCAGCTCTTCTATATAGATGAGAGAATCTGACTAGTGGTCTCTCTAGAGAGAATCTGAGAAATGCAGAAATCTCTGGGAGAAGGCAAAGGGAGTTGTCAAAGCCAAATTATTGCTCTAAGGATACTGCAATCAAGGAAATATTTAAAAGGCTGATACAAGAATCTAGCAAAAAAAAAAATAAAATCTTTCAAAAAAAATGGATTTTTTTTTTTTTTCCTGGTCTGTAAAGCATTGATGGAATTAGTTCCTATATCTGCAGACTCCTAATTTTTCCTACAGGGACCCAGGTTTTTTTCCCTGGGCTGGAATGTTTCACACTGCATGCCAATGAATTAGCTTCTCAGTAGGCACTGGTGTCACAACTCCATTTTAAGTCAGTTGACCAGAAATTCTTGTTGCAGCTAGTGATTCACACACAGTGATATACAGCATTTGAAACAAAACTGTCCTTTCTTCCTCAGACAGGGAGACAGAACTGAGAAGGGGAAATTCATACTTCCCTTGCTGTCTCTTAATATCATTTTGATTCCAGTTTAGATCCTTCTTAAACTTCTTTATGTGTCACTGTTTTGAATGAGAATACGAGTCACTCTACATTTCTGATATATTGTTTGTTTACATTTTTTACAGATACAGAAGTTTGGTGATCCTAATGGAATTGTACAGTTTGCTCCTGAATCCTTAATTGAGAAAAACTATACAGAACCCTCAGCAGTGGAAGGGCCACAAAACATCACACTGTTTATCAGGCGAATTCAGGGCACTCTGGGAAACATAACGGTATTCTCACTCTTTCCTGATAAACAGTGTAATCCGAAATCATCCTCAGTATCAATGTATGGAGAAATATCTTATTCTGTGTCTTTCAATTGCTTGTTTCTCAAATTCTTTTTCAACATCTTGCCTGTTAGACTGAATTTAGCAAGGCCTCAGCCCTAATAATTGTAGTTTTGAGAGTCAAATTCAGTCTCCCCTGGTCAGGTTAGAAAAAAAAGAAAACCAGTACTGCAGTGCTTCTTTCCTCTCTCACTTTTCCCTGTGCTTTGATGGGAGAACAGAAAAGAGCATACATTCATAGTGAGCTTTCTCGGAAATCATCACGATTTATTTTTCCTGCCATATTTAAAGTTAAGAAACAGATTTTTGAACTATCACTCACATTGTTTTTTAATTGATGTTGCTTAGAAATAAGCATTTTAACAAGTACATGTCTGATTTTTAAAAAAATCCATTAAAAGAATCATCTGCTTTGTTTAATTAGAGTTTTCACTCTTCTTTTTATGTGAGGAATCTTGAAAACACAATATGTTGATGTAAAAAATGATTTTTAAAAATTCTGAGTTTCAATATAGTTTTACATAAATATTCTCAAGATATACGAAGGACATCTTTAAATTCATAATACAGTTAAAGGATCTTTTGTAAGACTGTGTACTTTCTGTGCCAACCTAAACCAATATTTATTTTATCCTCTTAAAACCAGTCTGTTCCATATCCTATCTGTACTGAATCCTAAATATGAAAGTTTCTGACTCTATGTGTAATTTTGCTTTCATTTTTTACATTTTCTACACTCATTTCAGGTTTACTGGGAAATACATAGTGAATCTGACATCACAGGTGACTTCCTTACAACAGAGGGCTCTGTTGTCATTGCTGACCAGCAGAGTACAGCTGAGATAATTATCTACCTGTTACCTGATGATGTTCCAGAACTGGATGAAAACTATGTGGTGCAGCTGATTTCAGTAGAAGGTGGAGCAGATTTAGATCAAGAGAAAAGAATTTCGAAGATCAATGTGTTTGCAAATGATGATCCTCATGGAGTGTTTGCCCTGTACTCTGATCATCAGTCAGTATTCGTAGAGAGAAACCTGGATCGGTATGTTCAGATCAATGTAACTCGGCATGCTGGAACATTTGGAGAAGTGATAGTTGAATACCATATCATATCTCATCATGAAGAAGTGCTAATTGAACCTGAGAATGAGGAGGGATACCTCACAGTAAAAGATGGTGCCAGCTTTGGAGTGAAAAGAGTGCCAATAAGTAACCAGGTTGGTATTATCCTTTTAGCTCCTATGATATCTGTTGTTTCCACTTGTGTCTATCACAATACCAACGTAGCGGGAAAAGATACTAAACTCTCAATGGTATCCACTATTATGGATTAGGACTGTGTTCAAATACATTTTCAGATAATAACTGTAAAGTCACTGCTATGCAGCTGTTCATATATTCAGTCTTTCCTTCCATCATTGCTCTGTTACTATCAGTTCAATATTTTATTATTATATGTATGCAGCTATTTCCTCAAGTTTCCCTTTTGGATTGTAAATAGTGATCTGTCAACGCTGAGTAAAGAAGCAGCAGGTAAATTTACCTGCAGTTCTCTGTGTTCCTTGGTTGGCTGTTGTTATTAATATTAGTGTCTTACTTCCTTTTCCAACCATTTTATGTCTTTATAATCCTAAGTATTAAATAAAGCTGAGGCTACTGTGTTAGACACAGTTTATTAAAATGGCAGTAGCTGGTCTACAAACTCACATTCAAAAAAATGCTGGCAAATCACGTTCACAGAATCGATGTTTTAGCTGTGTTTCTTTTAAGACACATAATCAACAAAACACTTGCCTTGAAAACACTGCTTTTTTATGCTAGTGGAATAAAACCTGCAGGTTGTTCTGATAATTCATTGAACTGGTGGATATGATGTTTTTTAGTGAAATTAAATTTCTACCATTTTGCTTAAATTCTCTCTCTCAAAAGGCATTTATTCTACTGGGCTTGAATTTTACTCTGGAACTGACTGATGTAAGCCTGGTTAGGGGAAGTGCCAAGGAGGTGCCTAAAATATTAGGAAAAGCAAAGTCAACTATTCTGCTTGTTCCTGAGGAAGCTGCCAATTCACAGGTCAGTAGACTGGCTGCAGTGTAACGCTTCTATGGCACAAGGAATGTATGCTCCATTGCAAAAGATAGATGCTATGAGGACTCAACTGGCTTCTCAAAGTTTTCAGTTTTGCAACCAATTTAATGACTGACAAGAATTTTCCAGTTATTACTTGTATATTTTCTTTTCTTTGAAACAAATTTTTACAGAAATGTGTTAATATAGTTTGAAAATGTCTCTTCATCTATAAAATGAAAATAGTGTAAATACTATGGTTAGTTTATATTTTTGTTTATGTGAAATGGAAGTTCTCAGGCTTAAAAGAAAAGGACTCATTCTGGACAATATTATTCCTTTAAGTACAGCAGCCTCTAAGTAGGTAACAACATGTATGCAGTAATATGTGCAAAATAAGATGTAGGTCATTGTCCTGGGTTTAGCAGTAGCAGTCAATTTTTCTCCTTCTTGGTAGCTGGTGCAGTGTTGTGGTTTGACTTTCAGCCTGGGAACAGTGATGATAACACCAATGTTTTCAGTTGTTGCTCAGTTAACGTTTACCCTGACCAAGGACTTTGTGTTCATCATGCTCTGCCAGGGAGGAGGGGAAGCTGAGAGGAAGCAGAAACAGGACACCTGACCCAAGCTAGCCAAAGAAGTATTCCATACCACAGCACGTCATGCCTGGGGGGGTAACTGGGAGTTACCCAGGGACACGGGGTCTTCTGGGTGGGACTCGTTTTTCGGCGGGTGGTATCATATTCTCTTCCCTTGTTACTTTCTCTTGTCATTGTTGTTGGTGGTGGTAGTGGTGGTGATTTGCATTGTACACTGGTTGCTGGTCTGTTCTTGTCTCAACCCGTGGGAGTTGCATTATTTTGATTCTCCACCCCATCCCTCCAGGAACGGGGAAGGGCAGGGAGGGGGAAGGAAAGAAAGAACTGTTGTGGTTTAAACCCAGACATACAGCTTGTTCACACACCCCCCACACACCCCCCCCCCCCCTTTCCTTCCCTGTTTCTTGGAGGAACGCTGCACCAGCTACCAAGGAGAAAAATTGACTGCTACTGCTGAACCCAGGACAGTCAGGCTGGGTTTAAGGCAGTTGACAATATATTTGGCTAATCCCTGAGTATCAAAAACATTTGTCTGCTTTGCATGAGAGTGAGAAAAGAGAATTTGCCTGTTCTCTATGCTACAGTTCCCATTTCGTATGTCAAAGGCCACAGCATGCTGAGTTTTTCTCTCCTAGTGAACAACTCTTATTGTTCTAAAAAATGATTTTTAATGCTTTTAATTGTCTTGAAGCATTGTTCTGTCTTTTAATTTGTAATTGAACTTACATAGTTCTTCTGTAAACATTGTTTACTACCATACATACATTTATCATTGCTTTTAGAATGTACAAATTATCCTTTAAGGCCCATTTGCTGCTCAAAGAAAGAAGTAGATCACACTAGTAAGAATAATTTTGTGAACAATGTTGTGTGACAACAACTTGGTTTTTACTGGATACACAATTAATAATTTATTTTAGATCTACGTTTGTATTTCTATACAGTGCTACAGCTATTGCCTGGGAGCATTAAGGGCAGGTGGTTTGTTTTTCTTTTAAACAACAGACAGAGAATGCTATATCCAGTGTTTTCAGTGCTGACATGTAAGTCGTACTGGTTCCTTTTCCATGAGATGTAATTCTCAGAAATGTAAGATTTAGAAGCATTGTTGAATAGTTGCAAAGGAAGCATGTGTGTATACATATACACACACACACATATATATGTATATACACACGTACATGTATGCATATACACACATATAAATACATCTATATACATACATCTATATGCATGCATAATTATTGTTTAAAATACCTATTTTGCAAGATATAGTATGCTTTCACTTATGTTATTGCTCATTTTTATTTCATCTCCTTTAACAAAACCTACTGTGTTTCCACAGGTTGGATTTGAATCTGTGATTTTACGACTTGGAGATATTGTAGCAGGGACAGGCCAGGCTGTCATAACCAGAAAAGGAGTTTATGGCTCTGTAACAGTTACTTGGATTTCAGGATACCCACCAGACCTAATCACTGACTTTGCTCAGCCAGGCAATATTACTCCTCCATTTGGTAAGTACTTGTTCAAGGGCGGAAACAGCTATGAAAGTTGTGTAAGTGATGATTTCACCTTTTAGTTATTCGTACCTCTACATGCCTCCTCTATTAATGAAAAGTTACTAGAATGAAATTTTGTGGTCTAATTTTTATTTGTGAGGGATGTTTACGAGCAAAAAAGGAACTAATCTTTATCGAGGCATACCTTGGATGCTGTGCCCCTGATGGACAGCTTTATCCATGTGGATTTCTTCCTAAATAGAGTGGAATTATGACTCAAATACCTGCCTAAAGACAATTTCTATTTAGTGATTTTGACTTGAGCTCTCTCACTCTTTTCCTTCAGGTACTGTCCTATTTTCCTTTGGTGAGCAAAGTAAAGTAATTTCATTTCAAGCTATACCAAATATAAATAAACATGAATCATTTGCCATCACTTTAACAGCAGTGCACACCAATGTGTCTGGTGGGGCTTGCCTCAGGTAAGGATATTACTTTTGCGTTGAACAGATGCTGTAAGAATTGCAACCTGTGTACAGGCATACACCTCATACAAATCCCTATTAAATTATAGGTTGGTAGGAAGTTGTGCCTTCTTTGATAAATTTGTATGTCTTCTCTCAGGTTGAAATAGTGTCAGTGCTGCAGATCTGATCTAATCAGAACAGAGGCTTTTCTCCAATTCCAGTCTATTCCATATCACTAGGATTGAAGGTGCCTAGAATGTGCCTAGGATTATGGAAACATTTAAGAACCAAGATCAACAGTTTTAGCCAGTAAACTGAAGAATAAGAGCAACTCTTAACAGTCTTCATTAGTGTCCCTAAAAATCCATTTTTAGAAGGTCTTAGATAATAAACATTATATAAAATAAATAAAATGAAAGAAGAAATGCTCTGAAAATACCTTATTTATATAAACATCCCTTTTATTCTTAAAAACCTAGCACAGGAGGTAAAGCTGACCATTATTTTGAAGGCTTTGTTTTGAAGTGGTTGAAGGAGTCTAGTTTGTTAACGAAAATTACTCACTGTAATTGCAAAGCCATTTGGTAGTTGCTACCACTGAGTAATGGGTGAGTTCTATAGACAAGTGTAAGACTCAGGGTTTAGCAGAGGGTCTTTAGTCTCTGTGCTTGTTTTGTTAAGAAGGAAATATGTTTAATATGAACAAAGTAGAGCTTAAATTGATACTGATAATAGGGCTCAGACCTGGTAAAAATTGCTGAATCATATGGGGGGGCAGTTAGTATTTCAAAGCCCCACTGTAAGTCTTAAAATAACTTCCCTTCCTTCTCTAGCTTCCTAGCTAAAGCTGAAGATCTGCTAGCATCTGTCTGCTCAACAGTTTTCCCTTGGTACAGGAAGCTTGTTCAGTGGTTAAAACTGGTATTACTCAGAGTGGCTGTATGTATTATGTCTCTCTGCATTGTGTCCCCAGTAGAAAGACATCATACTTTCCTTTGCCTCTCCATTGTCTCAGGAAGACCTTATTTTATTTATGCTTTATTCTGTATCCTATGCTCACTCAGGATGTATCAAGCATGTGGACAAATGTTCAATCCAATCACGGCAAAAATAAAACCTCTTTGGATTTTGCTTGTCATTTTTGCTGTTGCTTCCCTCTACTGTTACACGTTTGTTACAGCCATCACTGACTGTTCACTGGAAATGATTCTGCTTGGGTGTTTTACTTTTCAAACTTTGCATTTCCTTTCTCAACTTTGGTATCTTTTCTGTTTCAGATCTGGATTTACTATAGCTGAAATTGAGCCAATGGGGATATTCCAGTTTGCTCCTAACTCAAGATCTATTTCAGTTGAAGAAGACGTTCAGACAGTCGCACTACAAGTCCAAAGACTGTTTGGTTTTCAAAGTAATCTCACTAAATTGACATATCAGACCGTTCCAGGAAGTGCCAAACCACTAGAGGACTTTATACCCATCTACAATGGAGAGCTTATGTTTTTACACTTTCAGAAAACTGCTGTGATAGAAGTATCAGTAATAGATGACACTGTCTCTGAAATGGAGGAATTTTTTTTTGTAAATTTGACTGCTGTGGAAATTTTGGATGTTCCACCTGTGAATCCTGCCTGGAGTTCACGTTTGAATCCAGCTTTCAGTGTTGCAACAATTAATATCCTGGCTAATGATATTCTTAATGGAATACTAAGCTTGGGGCCAGAGTTTACTTACGTTGAAGAAGATGCAAACAACAGTAGCCCCAACACAGTGGTACTTCATATCAGAAGGACCAAGGGGTTTACTGGTGATATTGAAGTAACTGTTAAAACATTTGGGGGAGTTAGTGCACAGAGTGGAATAGATTCATATCCTTTTGGAAATGCTTGGAAATCAAACTTCACCTGGGCAATGGAAGGAGAAGATTTTGAAGAACAGTCAGTCTCTTTGACTTTGCTGGATGGAGAAAGAGAAAGCAATGTGTCCATTAAAATTTTTGATGATGATGAGCCTGAAGGACAGGAATTGTTTTATGTTTTCCTCTCAGATCCTGAATGTGGAGCTCAGATTGTGGAAGGAAAGGATGAATATGGATTCGCTGCTTTTGCAACAGTGATTATTGCAGGTAATATTTTCTTCCCCCAGAAAAGTAGTAAGTACAGCTGAGTTAAATAACAGTAAATAACTATATGTTCTAATACCAATCTTCATGTAAAGATTGGGATTCTATTTGATGATCAGCAGGGTTTTCTATTTCCATATCTTGAGTTCCAGATCAGAGGGAGGAAACACCTAATGTACGAAGCCCACCATGGATCCCTTAGCAACGCAGCTCAACATGTATTTATAGATGCTGCTTATCTCTGTTCTAGTCCTGCTTTACTTCAGGAAGGCAAAGGCTAAACTTGAGTGTTTTTCTTATAGATGTAAGCCTTCCAGTTCTTTTTTGTTTGTTTGTTTGTTTGTTTTCTTTGCCATTTCTTTGCCATTGAGGTTGGACTAGAAGATATCCAGAGGTCCCTTCCAACCCTAATGATTCCATGATCTTTTCACTTTTATGTTGTATGGGGTTTGTACGAAGTATAAGAAGCAGTTTCTGGTTTTGTTCTTTGATACTATGCAGCTCATATCTGCAGTGTAGTCCTCTGAGGATGGAGGGTAGGAATGGACACCATAGACACAGCGGAGAATTTTTCTTTCAATCACTGCATGCTACTGAGAGAAAGTGATGTCCGACCTCCAGCTTCACTTATCTTTTAGATATCCGTCAGACTTATCAACTGAATATAGACCAAGTTTAACCACATTATAGCTCAAGTTTTAGAAAAAAGTTGGAAATTGGTACAGTTCAGGCTAATCAAGAAAGTCACATGTAAGGTCCAACATTTACTGAAGTTTTGTGCGTTTAGGTAGTTCTAACAAAACAAGGTAGGTATTGACAACCAAGATAAAACTGTGCTGTTGGGTGAGTGTATGCAGCAACCAAGACTGTGTGCAAAACCAGACTGTATAAAACAAGTTCTCTTCATGTGTAGCACGTCTAGAATTCACCATGCAAGTAACCAGTGTCCTGTACGTGAAAGTTAACCAAAGAAGTATGTGCATAGGCACAGATTGGAATTTGAACTTGCGTTGAATCCCATAGAAATGTATTAACATCATCTAGATTTACACCCTGAGCACAATGAGCATATAAAGTAAGATTGGAAGACAACTTACATTGAGCACAAAGGTCAAAAGCATGTATCTGCATTTAATTGCATAAGGATACCTCAGGCTGAATATTTGTGCATCCATATAAGCAAACATGCAGTTTCTGTTAATCTTCAGTGTATATATTGACATTTAATAACCATTGGGTCAGATGTAGATTGGCTTTTCAATTGCAGAGTAAAGCCATCACTGCTTGTAAGGAGGAATCCTCTACAAACAAGACTTAATGGAATACTGTGCAGACATGAGTTTCTTCTCATTAACCCTGGGGTTTTTTAATCTCTACTGCTGTTTTGCTGAAGTTATTTACATTCCCATGAGGACAGTGAAGTTTCACACACTGAATTAAAGATGCAGGAGAAAAGCTGATGTAACAATCTGGGAAAATAAATTAGGGATGGGATAAATAAGAAAGCTGAGGTCATATCCTTGGAAGCCCATCTTTATCCCATAACCTGCTATGTCAATGCTGTCCATCTAGGGGCATGCTGAGGCCCATTCTTGTTCAGATAGAATAAGTTTTAAGGGTTATCATAGAATCACAGCCTGGTTTGGGTTGGAAGAGACCTTAAAGCTCATTCAGTTCCAACCCCGACTTCTACTAGATCAGGTTGCTCCAAGCCCTGTCCAACCTGCCAGGGATGGGGCAGCTACAGCTTCTCTGGGAAACCCATGCCAGCACTTCACCACCATTGCAGGGGAGAAATTCTTGCTAAGATCTGATACGTAAATCTACTCTCTGTCATTAATGCCATTCTCCCTTGTCCTAAGCATAATATAGCTTATGTAAATGTAAAATAATAAGAATACAAATATTTAAAAAAAAGTGCTGGAGGCACTCCCAAGTGGTACTTTGCAGCATGCTTTTGATACCTGTTTTGTTGTGTTGTTTTTTTTTTTTTGCAGTTATCCATATTAAAGTAATAATTTAGTCTCCACTTTCTTGCTAATTACCTTCATGGTCTGTTTCCTATATAGGAAGTGATCTCCAGAACGGCATTTTGGGATTCATGCCAGAGGTACAAAGTGGTCTTGTACTTGATGAAGACTCAGAAAACAGAGAGGTGCTGCTCATTGTCACAAGGCAACCAAACAGGTACAGGCAAAAGCTGATTCAAGTGCTCTTCCACACTTTGTAATGTGCTGCTGTTAGTGGAAGAGGTTATGGTAAGATTTTATATTAAATCCTTGCCTTTCACCTCCTTTAATAACTTCCCAGAATTTGGCAAATAGGCTGTTTAAGTTGTGAATGTGATTAGGTCTGTCACTTACTGGTATAAAACAAAAATGGAAAAAACCCCAAATATTTTCCAATTTACACAATGAGACAGCAAATGTGAAGGCTTTGCTTATGATAAAGTATTTGCACTGCTAAAGACGTAAGTCAGATTCTCATCTCCCTGTGTAATAGAAGTAGGTATGAATGCTAAAATGAGCAATTAAAAGTCAGCACTATACTTAGGTCTTCACTCTCACAGATCCTATGTTTTTTCCTAATTAACATATGTATGTTGCATATTTGTGTTTTTTAAACAGATATGCTCAAATACTCTAAGTTCCTGAAGCTTATAGGAAAGACAAATTCTTCCTGGCTTTCTAGGCACATGGTCGCACCAGTGTCTTTTATTCAGCTAATTTAGTTTTTCTGAAACAAAAATTGAGAAGGGTGTGGATGCCTGTAATTGCTATATTTTCTTCCTCTGCTCCTTTCTGGCAGTTAAAACATTTTAGAGGAAGGAATTTGAAAAGAGACATTTTCATGTTAAAGCAGTTTGTTCCCTAGTGATAAGTTCTGAATAATAAAATAACTTGTGTGTTACTGCTGTGGTTTAAGTTTCCTTCTTCAGTACCTGTATACTCTTTTGATCCACTTATAGGGCTTTTGAAGACGTGAAGATCTTTTGGCGTGTGACATTTAATAAATCAGCTGTTGTCCTTCTGAAGGATGGCACGAACTTGGAGAATGAGCTTGTATCTGTGCTGGGAGCCACTACCTGCATGGCAGGACAAACAATGTGCAACATCTCCATTGAAATAAAACCTGATAATGTAAGTAATAATTGCTCATTTCTATACAGTACTATGATGCTGAACTGCAATTTATCAAGGTGAAGATCTCCTCTGATCCAGAGGAGCTGGTGTGCAGTCTGAAGATGGTAACCTGATGTCTGCAAACACATTTTCTTCTGCAAATGTGTTTATTTACAGGCTTGTACGCCCATTATTATGACAGGTAAAAAATTGGGAAGGAGATGGGTATTTAGTTCAAAGAGTAAACTGCAGATCTCAAGAGTTTTATAGAACAGTAAAAGAAAAAAGGAGTTAAAAAAGGAGTTATTTCAGTGAGTTACATATTCAGGTACTGGACTCTCATCCTTTACTCAGCAAATCTTTCATCTATGAAAGTACTTCTTAGGTTGACTTATGGAAAACACATCCTGTAAGTAATAACATCTCATTCAGCAAAAAAACTTTTATTGCAACTTGTGCATGATTTTACATGCCTAAATCTAGCGCAGTAATCTGTGAAAACTGTACTCAGTCATAAAACTGCATAAAAATCTGTCACTGTGCACTTCTAGCTTCTGAGCAGCAAATTTCAATTTGGCAGCCATCATCCACTAAAGCTGTTTGGCGTTTGTCAGGCGGGTATGCCTAAGCCTAAGAGTCTCGAGAGGCCCAGATGGCACTCAGAAATGCAGACATCATTGAATTAACATAAAGCACATTATTCAGTCATTTTTACTGAAAAGAGAAAGAAAAAAAATATTTTTGTGTGAACACCCAGTGGTTAGGACAGTCCCTTAAGAAAGGAAGGATTAACGCTTGCCATTCTTTCAGAGTGGAGAGACTGAAACTTTCCAAGAAATTATCTTAACAGCCACAGGCTATTGGCAAAACTGAAGTTTGGGGAATAGAAAAGGACAAGATTCTGACTGCATTATATAAAATAAAGCAAAATGTAGGCTGTGGGAAATAGTGATTTCTAACTAGAGAATAGGGATTCATGTCCGAATCCAGTAAGAGGGCCATTTTCCCTCATCATCTCCAGATGTTATTTTTACATTATAGAGTTAATGAATAAAATATATAGATGATGAGACATCAGCTGCCTCTCTGGCTAAACTGGGATTTCGAAGCATTTAGTCCAAGGGAGTGAAATCATTATTTAATGACAGCAGTGCAGCAGCTGCAGAGACGTTCAGTTGTGTCACATGAAGCACAAGCATGTGCCACTCTAATAGGTGCTAATGGAAGGCTTAAGTTCCCTGTGGCATTCAAGTAAATTTGTTCCTGTCATCAATTAGTCAAGATAATTCCATTTAGAGAATTTCTTAACAACTCAATTAAAAATGTATGCTAGTTAACACACCAAATATTTACTAATTTTTCTTCTAGTTCTATCATAAGATAGCTTATAAATCGGTAGCAAATGCATTATAAAATTATGAAGTCATAAATATTCAATAAACATTTTATGGTTTTATGGTATATTCTAGTTTATACCTAGAAAGGTTTTACTTGGTCAGCTGTACTGACTTTATTAGCTAAGAGCTAAATCCTGCTTACCTAGAATTACAGAAAGATTTCAAAAAACGCAGAGCTAAAACAAAGAGCTGTATTAAAAAAAAAAAGAAAAAAAATTATCTTCAGTGATAATTTTTTTTTTTAATGCTATTGTCTTGTGAAGAAATAAATTTTTGGCAAGTTTGCTGCTTCATGTGGGCATGTAATAGGTGCAGATAACATATTTTCAATGATTTCTGGAATCTTAGTAATCACAAGTCTATTTCTAAACATGTTTGCATTTTGGGTACAAAATGAAGGATGAAGCAGAATGTCATATTGTAATTTAATACTACTACCATATTTTCAGCCAGCATGCATTATGAATGCAGGATTGACTACGCTCGTTCTTTTACTTATGAACACTAGAATTCAATATCTTGTTTTCCAGACCATCAGATCATAGTTCTAGGCTTTATGATTTTCAATAAATTCAATTACACATTCAAGTCTCCTGAGGTTGGCTTGAAAAAACACGCATAAACATATTACACACTAAGGCTGTATGTAAAATCATAAAGTTTTCAGAACTTTACCTGAGTTCAGTACTCGAATACAGTCAAGTAGTTAGTTTCAAAACTGCACGTTTAGATTGTGTGGTTTTTCCATGGGTGTGTAGGTGTGTGCATGCCTTTTTGTAATGCAGAAAGAAAATGAAAGAGCAAAAATCTTCACAAGATGTACATCTACTGGAATATGGAGCTATTTGAGAGTTTACTGTCGTGTTATGCCTGACTTACAGACACAATACATGTAGTATATAAATAGCTACTTTACTGCAGTAAGTCCCATGTGAAAACCTGAGATTTCATTATCGTACATGAAGAGTGTTGCCCATTGCAATATTATTTTTAGGATATATATTTATTGTACTTACTGCATGTTTCGGGAAGTAGGCTTGTGGTGTTAGTACAAGTAATCCATTGTGCATAAAAAACAATATATACATTTTCTGAAGCTGAAAATAGTTAGTAGGTCTTATAATGATATGAAAATCATTACACCTCACAGGTTCCTGAATTTGAAACACATTTTTTTGTTGAACTGTATGCTGTGAGCACAGGAGCCGCATTGAACAGCAGTTCCAGATTTGCTTTTGTAAAAGTTCTTGAAAGTGATGCTCCTCATGGTTTAGTATATTTTGCTGTGGGATCTCGTTTTGCTGTGGCTTATAGGAAGACAACTTTAATCAGTCTGCAAGCACTTAGAGATTCTGGTACATCAATAACCACAGTGGTTAGCTACAGCATGCAGGTAAGACTTTTATTATTATTATTTAACTTACTATTTGTATCATTAAATCATTATTCACTCTCTAAAGTAAATGTTATTAGAATTAGCTTTTTTCAGGAAATAGTCAAACATTTGCTGGGCCTAGATGGTCCAGCTTCTTTGGATTTCCATTAGTAAAAAGATCTTGTTCTCACTGCATTCTCAAGAGAGATTTTGTTGAGCCTACCCTTCCAGGAGTCTCGAAGGCCACAGTCAGTCAGGAATTAAATACATTTCTTTGTCGTAAGGTTCTTCTAAGACTCCAATTATTTTAAGGCTTCTTTCTCGGAAGTTAACTTTTACCATGATGGGTATGACTGCAAGATTCAGGTACCAACACACTGTCTGTGTTTGGTCACAAATTTATAAACACACAGAGCACACTTAAGAAAAAAGACTCTTACATCAAATTTTATCCCATGTTCTTGAAGTACTAAACATGACAGTTATTCTTCTGATAGATTGAAAACACAGTGTGGTAGAGTCAATTTTATCATCCCCATTCAATTCTGTTATGTTTACAGCTCTATCACCAGATGCTACTAACTGCTGAAACTCTAAACAAGTACCTCATAATTACTGACCAATGATGAAGATTCTCCTTTAGCTGAAATGACACAACTGCAAAAACATGATTCCTTCCACTTCCTTACAGCTGTGAACCCAGCCTCAAGGGCTTGGGCACTGGCTGCAAGAGGGATTCCTCCAAATTTGCTATCATATTGGAATAGTGCTTAGATTGATCTATGTGGGATTTTATAGAATCATAGAATAGTTACAGTTGGAAAGGACCTTAAGATCATCAAGTTCCAACCCCTTGCCATGGGCAGTGACATCTCACACTAAACCATGTCACCCAAGGCTCTGTCCAGCCTGGCCCAGAATACCGCCAGGGATGGAGCATTCACAACTTCCTTGGGCAACCCATTCCAGTCCCTCACCACCCTCACAGAAAGGAACTTCTTCCTTATATCCAGTCTAAACTTTCCCTGTTTAAGTTTTAACCCATTACCCCTTGTGCTGTCACTACAGTCCCTAATGAAGAGTCCCTCCATAGCATCCTTATAGGCCCCCTTCAGATACTGGAAGGCTGCTATGAGGTCTCTGTGCAGCATTCTCTTCTCCAGGCTGAACAGCCCCAACCTTCCCAGCCTATCTTCATACAGAAAGAGCTCCAGTCCCCTGATCATCCTCGTGGGCCTCCTCTGGACTTGTTCCAACAGATCCATGTCCTTTTTATGTTGAGGACACCAGAACTGCACACAATACTTCAAGTGAGGTCTCATGAGAGCAGAGCAGAGTAGAGGGGCAGGATCACCTCCTTTGACCTACTGGTCACACCCCTGTTGATGCAGCCCAGGATACGGTTGGCTTTCTGAGCTGCGAGTGCCGCATCGACCAACACCCCCAAAGTCCTTCTCCGCAGGGCTGCTCTTTATCTCTTCTCTGCCCAACCTGTAGCTGTGCCTGGGATTGCTCCGACCCAGGTGTAGGACCTTGCACTTGTCATGGTTAAACTTCATGAGGTTGGCATCAGCCCACCTCACAAAGCATGTCAAGGTCCCTCTGGATGGCATTCCTTCCATCCAGTGTATCAACTGAACCACACAGCTTGGTGTCATCAGCAAACTTGCTGAGGGCACACTCAATCCCACTGTCCATATCACCGACAAACACATTGAACAAGACCGGTCCCAACACTGATCCCTGAGGGACGCCTCTCGTTACTGGTCTCCAGCCAGACATTGAGCCATTGACCACAACTCTGCATGTGGCCATCCAGCCAGTTCCTTATCCACCAAGTGGTCCATCTATCAAATTGATGTCTCTCCAATTTAGAGACAAGAATGTTGTGTGGGACAGTGTCGAACGCTTTACACAAATCCAGATAGATGACATCAACTGCTTTACGGCTGTCCATCAGTTCTGTAGCCCCATCATAGAAGGCCACCAAATTGGTCAGGCAGGATTTCCCCTTAGTGAAGCCATGCTGGCTGTCACCAAGCACCTTGTTTTTCATGTGCCTTAGCATGCCTTCCAGGAGAATCTGCTCCAAGATTTTGCCAGGCACAGAGGTGAGACTGACTGGTCTGTAATTCCCCGGGTCATCCATTTTCCCCTTCTTGAAAATGGGGGTTATATTTCCCTTTTTCCAGTCATCTGGAACTTCACCTGACTGCCATGATTTTTCAAATATGATGGACAGTGGCTTAGCAACTTCATTTGCCAGCTCCTTCAGGACCCACGGATGGATTTCATCAGGTCCCATGGACTTGTGCATGTTCAGGTTCTTAAGATGGTCTCAGACCTGATCCTCTCCTACAGTGGGCCCAAGGTCTTCATTCTCACAGTCCCTGCATCTGCCTTCCCAGACTTAGGTGGTGTGGCCAGAGCATTTGCCAGTGAAGACCAAGGCAAAGAGGTCACTAAGAACCTCAGCCTTCTCCAAATCCAGGGTAGCCAGTTCTCCTGATAGCTTCTGTAGAGGGACCATGTTGTCCCTAGTCTGTATTTTATTTGCAGTGTACCTATAGAATCCCTTCCTGTTATCTTTAATATCCCTAGCCAAGTTTAATTCTAACTGGGCCTTAGCTTTCCTAACCTGGTCCCTAGCTTCCCAGACAACATCCCTGTATTCTTCCCAGGCTGCCTGTCCTTGCTTCCACCTTTTATAAGCCTCTTTTTTCCTTTGAATTTTCCTCAGCAGCTCCTTATCCATCCAAGGAGGTCTCCTGGCCCTCCTGCTGCACTTCCTTCTAGTTGGGATGCAACACTCCTGAGCTTGTAGCAGGTGATCCTTGAATACCAACCAAGAGTCTTGGGCCCCCCTGCCCTCTAGGGCTATATCCCATGGAACCTTACTAAGCAGGTTCCTGAAGAGGCCAAAGTCTGCTCTCTTGAAGTCCAGGGCAGTGAGCTTGCTGCACGCTCTTCTTACTGTCCTAAGGATCTCAAATTCAACCATCTCATGATCGCTGCATCCAAGGCTGCCCTGGAGTGTCACATTTCCAACCAGCCCTTCCCTGTTGGTGAGCACAAGGTCAAGCATGGCACCTCTCCTTGTTGGCTCCTCTATTACTTGCAGAAGAAAGTTGTCTTCCACACAATCAAAGATCCTCCTGGATTTCTTGTGGTGGGATGTACCGTCGCTCCAACAGATATCAGGGTGGTTGAAGTCCCCCATGAGAACAAGGGCCTGTGAGCGTGAGGCTGTTCCTATCTGTCTATAGAGTGCTTCATCCACAGAGTCCTCTTGATCAGGCGGTCTGTAACAGATCCCCACAGTAATGTCCCCCATAGCTGTTCTCCCTTTAACCCTGACCCACAAACTCTGTATTAACTGATCACCTGTCCCCAGACAGAGCTCCATACTCTCCAGCCTATCCCTAACAAAAAGGGCAACTCCCCCTTCCCGCCTGCCAGGCCTGTCTTTTCTAAAAAGCCTGTAACCTTCCATTCAACACTCCAGTCATAGGAGCCATCCCACCATGTTTCTGCAATGCCTATTATGTCATACCCCTATAGACGTGCCACATCTCTAATTCCTCTTGTTTGCTCCCCATGCTATGGGCGTTTGTAAAGAGGCATCTGAGCCGAGCTCCAAATGAAGCCAGCTCATTAGCTGGGGTGTCTGGAATATCTCTACATTGCTCCAAGCATTTATTATAGGTGCTGGCAACTGACTGGGTGTGTTGGGATGGAATGATGCCCCCCTCCCCCAACACATCTAGTTTAAAGCATCCTTGACCAGTCTGGCAAGCCTCCTACCAAAACCACAACCAGCTTCACCAGCCTCCAGTAGACCTGGCCTACTATCGTGGGTCCCATCTTCAAGATACCCAAAACCCTGACTATGACACCACCCTTCTAACCACTTATTAACCTAGCCAATCCACCTAGCCTTTTTTAGAGTCCTCCCCTTTATCACGGAAAATTGACAAAAAGACAATCTGAGCTCCAGAGCCCCTAACCACCTGTCCCAAGGCTCTGTACTCCTTCTTACTGTTCTCCAGGCTACTGCCATCAATATCACTAGCACCCACTTGTATCACTAGAAGTAGGTAATAGTCAGTGGAACTTACTAGAGCAGACAGACTCTCTGCAACATCCCTGATCCGAGCCCCTGGTAGGCAACACACCTCCCCTGAGACTGGGTCAGGCAGACAGATGAGTGCCTCTGTTCCTTTCAAAGTAGTCCCCTACTACTACGACCTGCTGCTTTTTCCTGACAGCACCAGTAGTGATCATCTTTAGCAGTGTCCCACTTGGTTGTTCATGGTGAGTGATTCCTCATCAGCCCCCTGCAGGACAGCAAAGCGGTTCTGGGTGGGGACAACAGATTTAGGAGGAAGCCCTTTGCTTTTAATTGTCCTCTTCCTCCTTTTCTTGTTTTTTTTTTTTTTTTGTTGCTGTTTCCCAGCTTCCTGGGTTAATGGCCTCCTTTTTTCGTCCATGAACTACAGGGGACACCTGAGGCCCCTGCACAGTTTAGGCCGTTAGCAAGCAGTCCAGCTTCCTCTCAGGTTCCCTGACATCTTGCAGCCTATTGACAGCATCCTGCAGCTGGAGGACCTCCACCAGGAAGCACGGAGTGCCGCCCTGCCCATTGTGCACCTTTCCCTCACGAGACCAGTGCAGGCACTCTACACTCCAAGCTCTACACTGCAGCCTCCCGTCTCATCAAATCTGTCTGGGTGCCTACGCTGGCCACCAGCTGGGCAGCCAGAGCAGAGCTCCCAGACTGGGCCGTGATCATAAGGTGTGATCATAAGGATGCTCACCATCCCGCTCACCTGCCCATGCAAACTCCCTCTAGACCCACTCCACTCGCTGGCGCTCCCTGGGGCAGGTTTCTACCCAGTCAGGGCTGGTGCCGCTCCTCCTGGCTCCGCCCCCTGTGAGTCCCTGCTGGTGTCAGCTGAGCTGCCGGCTCCTGGGCAGGTCCTGTCGAAGACTTGAGGCTCCCTCGGTGGCTCTCGCTCCTCTGAGTTGAGGCTCCTGGACTCTGAGCTTCCCCCTGCTCTGGTGTTGAATGCGTCCTCTCTTGAGATTCTCACCTCAGGAATTCAATTAGGCCTAAAAGCATTATTTATGGGGAGGGTTTTTATAGCAAAGTATTATTGCACCCAGTGTGCTCACCCTTTATTTTATCAGGTTTTGCATTCTATTGTTATATTGTTACATACCGATTTTCACTACACAGGTTTGCATGGTGTTTCCATGCATTTATTCCACAGTAGCTTGCCAGTGTTCTAGTTAGATTATGTAGTAACAAATTTTTACATTGTTTCCAGCTAATAGTTCATTATAATTTAAGTGGAGAAGAAATTGCTACTGTCCAGTGTGCGTTTGGGCTAAAGTTGGACAGTTTTAGGTTTCAAGGGTGAGTGCCCAAGTACCAAAGTATTGGTACCTGTAAAATAAGAGGTCACAGCGGACAGGAAGCATGAGGGCTTACTGGAAACAGATGTTTACATCATTCCAACAAAGGTTTATTAAACATTGTTCTTGTCACTTGTTCTGTTATTATCACTTATTTTCCTGTTTCTTAATTATAAAGTGGAAGGGATAAATGAAAGGAACTTCTCACTGGAACTGGCATAGAAGATGTGATCATGTGCTGAACAGATACACACTGCATTGGTTTACCAAGTTCTCTTGTGAAATCATAAATGTCTGATTTATTCCATAAGTAAACTCTACTAATTGAAGCTAAATGTTTTCAAAATTGTAGTATTTCCCTAATAAAAATCCTATTTTTTTACAGTAGGAGGGCTTTACTTAAGAATGAGTATTTACTTGTAGTTATTAAATGAATAGATACAATTAAAAAATCATGCATTTGAATAATAGCCCAGAATGTTAGTTTCCACTTAAGAAAAGTTTATTACATTACCAGACTAATATCAAGGTTATGGAAACTGACAAAAAAGAGCAAGAATGTGAAGAATGAAACAATATCTGCAAAATTCATGGAAGGTAAAAACAGTGGTACATCACAGGCAAATGAGGCTGTTCAGCATTCCTAAATAAGTTTATCTTTCTGCTTTGCATGTGAATTCCATAGTGTTTTGTTTTGGATTTTTTTGACCTTTGGACCAAAGTGGATTGTTCTCATTTTAATTATTTACACTGGGACTGAATATATCGTGAATTGATATTAGTTTGGGCACAGATTTCCAAAACCTATGCTCTGCTTTTGTTTAGGTTTTATGTGTCTGTGATGCCTGTCTGTACCTTGAACTGAGGGAGTTCGTGCTGCAGACACAAACTACATCAACCCCTCCTTAATTCACGTTATGAATGTGATAACATTTTTGTAACATCTGTTCATCCAGAAAAGCTTTGTGATTTTTGTTTGGGAAAAGAAAAAGTGGGATCCCGTTTGCTATTGCCAATATATATGATTCTTCTCCTAGGCTGTCACTGACTACAAGTGACAGATTGTGCTTTCATTTAATGCAATTATGATATCATTCTTAAGTGTATTTTGGAAGAGGACTTCTTTTTTTACATATTTAAATTTTACCCACTTAAAGTATGTGTATTCTACAGCAGCTGGTTTTGAAAAATTTTATCTATCACAATGTTACCTAAACCTCTTTTGGTTTGTTTTAAGGAGCTACAAAAACCTGAACCTATTGGTCGGACATTCATATCTCCAGCTGTGGCAGGGCAGGATTTTGCAAGATCTGAAGGTTTATTGACTTTTGAACCTGGACAGAAAAGCGCGTTTCTGGATGTGACACTGACCCCAAAGACAGGATCTTTAAACCCATTTCCTAAACGTTTCCAGGTTGTACTTTCTAATCCCACAGGCAGTGCCAGAGTAGATGATGTGTATGGTATTGCTAACATCACAATTGTCTCAGATTTTGACTCCTTGCCAGTCTGGGGGCTGATTGATCAACTGCATCAGCCTCTTGATGACACCATTTTACACAGAGTCCTCCAGAATCTGAATGCCAGAGTGGCTACGGAAACTACAGAAGAGCAGCTTACTGCTGTGATGCACATCATAGAGAAGGTAAACCTCTCCTGCTCTTTCCAGAATGACCAGTGGCTTTAAAAAAGAGTATAAAACTATGTGTTTAGATTTAACTGGCCTGTGTCACAGGCCTGTGACAAGATCAAGGTTAGCATCCTCACCAGTGAGTCAGTGACACAGAACAGAAAGTTAACAATAGAAACTGTGAAGTCCCACTTTCAAAGGAGAGGAAGCTGGAGACAAAAAAGCTGGAGAGGGACTATGGAAAAGGGCCTCTAGGGACAGGACAGGGGGGAATGGCATTAAGCTGACAGAAGCTAGATTTACATATTAGATTTTATGAAGAAGCTTTTCCCTGTGAAGGTGCTGAGGCCCTGGCACAGGTTGCCCAGAGAAGCTGTGGCTGCCCCATCACTGGCATTGTTCAAGGTGTCCCTGCCCATGGCAGGGGGTTGTGACTGGATGAGCTTTAAGGTGTATTCCAACCCAAACCATTCTATGAGTTTCTGATTCTATGACTATGGTTTCTTGATTTTCAGGCCACGTCTTTATTTGTTTTAGCCCTGGCACAAGACGCTGAGCCCAAGGTTTGGTTGTATCTTCACAGCTCACTGCAGTCAACACACAACCAAATCCTGCAAGGGCCAGCTGAAGTCTGCTGTTCTATTGATCAGGCATGCAGTTTGCCTTTCTCCCTGCAGTAGCTTTGGGGCTCGGGTTGGCAGGGTAGCTGAGCACTTCAGCCTTGCATCAAAACTCTGGGACTAGTTATGTCTTTCTGGCTCTTCTGGACTTACAGAATAATGCACAGAAGCTGGAAAACATTTAAATACATAGACACAAAGCAGTATAACAATATTCTTGAACAGTGTTTTGTCTGTGTTGCTGTTTTGACACAGAATACAGAAAATAAGGGCAAAAATTTTCAGGACTCAACAATCCTTGATTTGTGAAAAAATGAAAATGCCACATGGTTTCTTTAATAACCAAATCCCTGTTAGTAAGCATATCTTTAGTTCTGACATAGGCTGCGTCTTGTGCCTTGACAGCCATGATCAGAAAGTGGAAAAGATATTCTAAACTGACAGAATGAACACTGGGGTAAAACTGAAGGTCTTACTAAACTGTTCGACATGAGGAAATTTCATGAGCAGACTTCTGCACATGAAGTGTTTGATTTCTTCTCCTCTCATTAGGTTACAGACATAGGTGAAAAACAGCTACTCACTGATAAAAGTAGAAGTCTTTTCTATGAGATACTCTGTGCTCTGGCTAGCCCGAAACGTGAGGACACACGAGGATATAGCCTGCTTGCTGGGGTGACTGAGAAGTTTGCTTTTTCCCTGTTGACTGGGATAATGTGTGGATCACCCGGAGAAAGGTTAGTAAACTTGAATTCGTAATATGTTTTAGAAATATGTGACAACATACATATGGCTGTCATCTGTCACCTACACAGAAATGCATTACACTGTGTCACAATCAGACAGCACTATACTAGCAGTATGAGATGGTGTCACAAATAACTGGTACAAAGATAGAGCATAGCTGTGGGAGTAGGAATCTGGACATACTAAGTCAGCTTTGGTTCAAATACTGCCTGGAAAATATTCATTACTCTTATTAAGAAAATACTATGTAAGTCTATGATGGAGAGCTATGTTCTAAGACTTAGAGGAGAACCACTAACCCAACATTTCTCCTGGGATTTTGTAATTTCTGCATGTTTTGTTTTGCTCACCTGAACATTATTTACCATTTTTTAAATGCTAAGTGTACTTTTCACATTTAGTTTCAAATTGATATTTGTGTCTGCAAGTGCGTAATACCCTGTAGTCAGGCTTATGGGCAGGGGAAATAGGTGACTGCAGAAATACATTACACACTTTTGTGAGTCAGATGGTTTAAAGTGGTGAATTCTTTCTGAATTTCTCCCTCTGTGAATCTATTAAACAACTGGTAGTTGAATTTAGGAAAAAATTACTTCCTTTTCCCCCTCAAAAAATCAACATAGTTTAGATTTCTATCACAGCTTGAAGATACAAATTTTCTTGCCGCATCCTAAGTTGCAGGGGGTATGAATCCCATCTCAGCCAAAAGACAGCAAGTGGCATCAATAACAACACTGTCCTGAACAGTGTCGAGAACTTGAAAGTTAAAATTCTTTACTCCAAGGTCTTTTGCATCATTGGTTGGGGAAAAGAGGTAAAGCAAGATCATATATTTTAATGTCTCATTCTTGTAGGCTAATCTCTGCATCAAGTTATAATGATGAGTGTTATGATAACCTAGTTTACCATGGAGGGGTTTTGTTTGCAGATCATAGTGAGCAAAACCCAGGGGAGGGGAAATGGAGAAGCGGAAATACATAATAATTTAGCCCCTGGCTTTATCACACAAATTGAAACTGTTTGTCAATTAAATATCATAAAGACTAAAAATTATGGAGGAATTAAATATTAATTACAAACACATTTTAGAGCTATTCTGTGAAGAATAGTGAAGCTCATTTCCACTTACCAGATCTATTGCTTTTCCAATTCAACAGAGGTAAAAATATCCTTGACAGCTGCCCATACATTGCAATAATGGCTCACAACTGGTTTCCTCAGCAAATCAATGGACACAGATTTGATGGAAAAGATGGGGATTCTATTCAAGTGCCTGAACATTTACTAGACGTCTCTGTTTCATTATCACCTCCTCAACGAGAGAACTGTGAATCCGTGCAGTTCACAGAATACAGCAGTCAGCAGTGGTTCATTACTGGAGATAAAGAACTTGCCCTGAAGAACAAGGTTTGAAGATAATGCAATTTATTTTTTCAAGAAATTAGTTTAATTTAGATATGACTCAAAACACCTTAAATATATGTACAATAATGTGAACATTTGTGTTTCTGATTAAAATGCAACTAACTGTTGTATTTTAATACTAAATTTGTATTTATGTTGTGCATGTTGTTTCAGGTTTTTTCTATGAGTTTGAAGGGTTGGAGTTCACAGCCTTTAAAAGATAACAATGAAGTCATTTATCGGGTTTATGCTACAGGAAGTCGTATTGTTCCACAAAAGTCTCTATGTCTCCTCTGGAATCAAGCTGCTGAAAGGTTATTTTATTAACTGGTTTAGTTATCCAGTTTCTACCATGAACCTGTTTATTTGCCTAATACGTGAGAACTCTGATTAGATCATTTGGAAGTATAAAATTATCAATTTCTGGATGTGTGTTTTCTCCTTATTTTTTCTGGCCTTTGTGCCAGCACAAAGATATGTGTAAGTGAACCAAAAAAACTTGTTAAGGGGTATCTTAGGGACTTATCTAGACCTCCAGTACCCTGCCTTCAGTAGTGGCTAAAAGTAAATTCCCAGGGAAGAATAAGACCAGGAGAAGTATAAATAGTAATTCCCCTAACACTATACTTTCTAACTGTATTTGCTGAATGTGATTTTGTGTATTTCATCCCCAAAGTGATTATCTGTCACAGACTTGTACAGTTTTTCCTTGCACCATCCAGAATTTCAGCATTTCATACCATTACAAACCATGGAATAAACTTTTTCTGTGTATACTCTTCAGTGCACCATTATTTGATTAGGCTGTCTTCCCTGTTCACACATTATAAATGAATTTGGAGAGAATTATATTCTGTGTCCTGCTGAGATTTAGTTGGTTTAGATATGATTTCATTATACTGGCTGGATTATATCAGTCTGTTACTGATATAAACTATTTCTCTACAGAAAGGACATGCAGCAGAATGCACCTGTATTCTCTCCTTTTGTCTAGACACTGTAGTACGGAACAGATGTGACTTCCACTAGAAGTGGCTTAGGATGTCAGCTGTAGTATCTTTTTTCAAAATAGTTCAGCAATATTGAAAGAAGACAAAACATTAATTTTAGTTTCAAAACAACAAATAGCAATATAAAATGAAGTGTTCTCCATAATGGGGTAATGTATTGTGCAAGTTAAGAAAGAAATTATTTGAAAAGCCAGGCAAACCTGTAAATCTTTCAGAAGTTTTAAAAATATGGCCACAAAAAACCCTTGTATGGAAAAAATATTCATTATCGTATATTTACAATTATTTTACTCATGAAAATAAAAAACAAAAACCAAAACAAGCTATCCGCACCTGGAAGATTACACAAACACCTACGCGACAGTTTAGAAAACTTAGTATTTCAGAAATACAACAGCTTTCAAGAATACTTAGCATATAAATTACACAAACCCATTTCCAGCTTTGTTAATCTTTCGGTTTGCAGCTGGCTGTCTGATACTGGGTTCTGCAAAGTGATGGATGACTCGTCAGACTACGTGGAATGCTCTTGTTCTCATATGTCCATTTATGCAGTTTATGCCCAAACAGATAACTTGTCTTCATACAACGAGGCTTTTTTCTCTTCTGGATTCATCTGCATTTCAGGTCAGTTGGTTTAAGGAGTTTTCTCATTGATAACAACTGAGGACCAGTAAGGCTGATTGATTTTGAGCAATTTTATTAACTGATGACAATCTCTGTATCTGGAGGACTATTGGAGGAATGTTAGCTAACTTCATGGTATTGAAGTTGCCATTTGGTCTGATATTTGCACAATGACAAATTTTGCCACTTTTGGAAAAAATGATCCAGCAAGTATGTTTCTTTGTGATGTCTTATTGAACCATGTAAAAGAGAAATATGTTATTTATTCAGGAGAGGAATCTTAGAAGACCCAAATTCACCTGTGTCTCTAGCAGCAGTACAGTTGACCTCAGTGTCAAATCTTTTAGGTGCTTTTCTACCTACCCTGACAGTTTTTTGACAATTTTAGTTGGCAATTTACATTCAGAAGTGGTAACTAGAGTGAGATAGATTCCATGTCATGCGTGTAGAGCTCCATTACACTCTGCTGCCTAACTGCTACCTAATGTCATTGTAGAAGCCTGAGAGTTTAACCTGTAAGAATCATGACTCCATTGACAGGTACAACAGCATTTGCAGAAGTCCCAGAATGTCAGACAGGAATTAGGAGATCTGAGTTTTAAACTCCATTTGGCTTCCAAAGGAGAAGGAAACTACAGCTTTCATATTGCAGTCAGTTTACTATTATGTTTCAGACAATCCCACATGAAAGTAAATTTTTCATCTTGTGTTGATAGGCACTGTGGAAGCAGGAACCTGAGAGTAAAATGGTCACTAAGAAAACATGCTAAAGAGACTCTTAGACTAATCTTAAAGCATTTAAATGGGGTCTAGGACAGCTCCTTGTGAGATTTATGCCCTCTATCCTAGACCACCACTGTATAACAAAAACAGCGCAGTCACCTGAATCCCCTGTTTATGCCCTCCCAGCAAATTGCCTTAAGGGGCTAAAGCTAAGCTCCGTAACTGTTATGCACAGCCATAAAAAAGAAGACAGGGAAGAAAACCCCCTGTTTTTCACCTACACCATACAAATTGATTGTTTTATGTAATAATGAAATAAATTTTTAGCCAATAAAAATAAGCAGATTTTATTACAGCTAAGCTTCTTAGATTGTGTTAGTGAAAGTAAAATAAAAGACAAAGTATACTAAACAAATTTAATTAATGGTTTACAGAAAAAAGTAAATTGATGAGACAAATATGCAATAGAATGCAAAATTATATAGAAAATGAAGAAAAACCCAACAAAGTAACCAAATATGCTGTGGACACTGAAGCTAAGAGAAATATTTTGTTGAACTAGAAGGAATAAAGACATGCAGAACTGGTCGTTTATTGTAGTTGTGTCATAATAATGTATTTAGAATAAAACAGTTTGGCCTGGTTGTTTGCCTTGGATATAATTTCAATGACTTTTAGCTTCTTCAGCTGGTTGAAGGTGTTTACTTACACAGTTGTAGATATATCTATATCTATTTAAATCAAGTAATTAACAAATCGCAGGAGTTGACAGTCCTGGTCGGACATTTCCTGATTGCCTAAGCACTTTTTTTTACAACCAGATTTGCATATCCCACATGCCCTTGGTCATCATGCTTGTAGTAAGAGTGGGTAAACCCCTTCCAAAATCTTTGCTTGCAAAGCCAAGCCATCAATAGGGATATTACTTATTTCTCTAACATTTCCATCTAAGTGTGAAGAATTAAAGGAAAAAAAAAAAAAGAAAAAAGCACAGTAGAGTGAAATAGAATATTATTATTTCCAAACTATTCTTGTGCAGATAGTTGTATAAGTATCACTACGTTATTTTTGAAAGGTTTAGAAATAATTCTGTCTTCAATGGTTTATTTCATTCGTATCTTACAAATACTTGTAGTTTAGCAACCAGTCTGTCCCAGGAGAGTGTAAAAGATCTGTCTTATGTATCCAAATTCCTGCTCTTCCTGGGCTGTGGAAGTGCACAAACAATTAACTCTACATGAACTTTAGCAATGTTTTCCATAGTTGCTCAGCTTTCTCAGAGTCCTTCATCCAATAACAGCTTACTGGTAGATAAGGTGCCCTTCTCATTTCTGTTCTGTTTGTGTTCACAATAAATTAATGAAACAAAATTGACATTATTTTTTCTGCGTACTGCTGTAATAGATTTCTGCACTGAACACAAAATGAAATGGGAGACTGGCACTTAGAAGGTTAGAGCTATCTCCTAAAACAATGCTATCCAAGTGGAGGCAATTTTTGTCTATTTGTTTCTAAAAGCATTTTTGGATATAGTAATATGAATGCTGAACCTTGCTTTTTATTTAACTATTATGACAATCATCCATATTATTCAGAAATTTTAAAAGCTTTGCAAAAATGCCTTGTTTACATTATGCAATTACTTTAGCTCTCAAACCTATGAAAAAATTAAATAGATGTTAGTACTTGAGCAAAAAGTTCATAAGTGAGCCCAGTGTGAACCAAAGTGAACATATTCTCTCTGTAATCTTTTGAGTAATCATCTACACCTTCAAGAGACCAAATATTGTTGTTCTTATCTACCATAGTTTATTAGCGTAATATTCACATCTTTCCCTTTTTGTTTTGGTTTGTTTTTGTGTAGGTTTCACTTTGGCTATTCTCTCCCACCTTTTCTGCACCAGGTGTGCAATGTTTGCAGCTAAACTTCTCACTCACATGATGGTTGCTTGTTTGGGTACGCAGGTAAGAAAAAATGCTGAAGTCTCTAAGTGTAAATCAAGTAAATCTTTACTTTCCTTTACCTCACTTCCATGGCCACGTCGAACAGACCTCCTTTTCTTTTTCAGTGTAAACACTTTTGTAAAACGTAGACTTTCAATATATGATACTTATAATTGATCCAATATTCATATCTTATATTGGCAATTCAGTTGAAATTATACATTTTCTCAGAATATTTAGAGAAAATTATGGATGATATAGCCATGTGAGAAGATAGTTCTATATGGGAAATAATAAATGTTTTTAATGATGCGGTATATAATTGAGACAAAGAGTTCCATCACTGACATCATTATTTATGAAGTAGATTAGTGTCAGTAATCATTAATTCTGTGGAAAAGGTTTGGTTTGAGTAGTACATGATGAAAGGTCTTTTGCACCCTATTGTCTCAAGGAAGGTATAGCTATGAAAAATTTAAATAGTGAAAGAGATTAAGCTGTAGAAAGTCTTCCTAGTTGTCTCATACTGGTTCAAATAATAGGTGATATCAGCAAACTGAAGGAGCATGTAAAAGGAGAATATGTCTGTATGTCCTATAAAATATAACTTCCTCAGCTTTGGTACATCTGGTGAAAGGGGGAGCTATGAATACTCTCAAATATATTAAGATTACTTTATAGAAAGATTCCTTAAGAAGGAGCTTTTAGGTATATTTTTAATTCTATAAGGATGATGTAAATTTAAATTTACATGTAGGCTGAAGGCAGGGGTGCTGGGAGATGTTAAGCAGATTAGCAGGCAGGTACTTAGAAGAATGTGTGATATCAGGGAACTACTCAAATTCACGGTAATTGAAATAGCCCTGTATTTCCTGTAAAAGTTTAGTGACTGGCATCTCTCTCAAACAACCTTTTGTGTACTGACTTGGTTAGGATATAATTTTATTCATGTTACCTGACTATATAGCTTTTGGTTGCACAGTTGATAATGTTCATCATGCAGCTGGACTTAGAAGGAGCAGGAAAGGTTCTCACAGCTCTTCCAGATACCACTTTATACCAACAGAATTCTTACATAGCTTGGGTGAAGACCTGAGGCATAATTGTGTGTTCAAAATTCTGAAAACTGACAAATAAGTCAAATGTTAAATAGTAAATCAAAATTTGTTGTACCTTACATTTGAATTTTTTGAGTCATTATTTGTGTGATCTACCTTGATTCACAGTTTTGGCCTAGTTATTTTGTAAGATGTCGTTATCATCCTAAGAGTTACTTAGCTGTGGTAGTAGCGAATTTGTATATTTCTGAAGATACCCTGGAGTACTGTGTGCAGTTCTGGTGTTCTCAACATAAAAAGGACATGGAACTGATGGAACAACTCCAGAGGAGGGCCATGAGGATGGTCGGGGGACTGGAGCACCTCCTGTATGAGGACAGGCTGAGAAAGTTGGGGCTGTTCAGCCTGGAGAAGAGAATGCTGCACAGAGGCCTCATAGCAGCCTTCCAGTATCTGAAGGGGGCCTATAGGGATGCTGGGGAGGGACTCTTCATTAGGGACTGTAGTGATAGGACAAGGGGTAATGGGTTAAAACTTAAAGAGGGGAGGTTTAGATTAGGTATAAGGAAGTTCTTTACTGTGAGGGTGGTGAGGCACTGGATTGGGTTGCCCAAGGAGTCTGTGAATGCTCCATCCCTGGCAGTGCTCAAGTCCAGGTTGGACAGAGCCTTGGGTGACATAGTTTAGTGTGAGGTGTCCCTGCCCATGGCAGGGGGGCTGGAACTAGATGATCTTAAGGTCCTTTCCAACCCTAACTATTCTCTGATTCTATGGTTTCCCTGATTTACTGTTATAATTTTAATTTCAGGTCTTAACAATCTACTAAGCTCTCATTCCTCCATTCTCAAGCCAGTGCTGTAGCTGCTTTGCTCTAAAATGAACATCACACTATCACACACACTTGCCAAAGAACATGTAGTCAAAGCAGGTACAGCTATGGTAAACGTTTCACTTCAACGGTATATTCAATATTAAGTTGAAATTTAGTTTTCATGAACGTAGCCTAGATCAATTTATGTCCAAAATATGTATGGAAGAAACTAAACAAAGGGATCTTTAAAGCTTGGGCTGAATGGAAACTAAAATAAAAATTTGCTGCATTTTCTGTTAAATGCAGTTTTATTTAAATGTCATAAAGATACCACTTTTAAATTTTCATATACTGATGTGCAAGCATATTGTTGGTTGTATGCCTAGCAGTTCTTATCTGCTGACAGTTCCAGGTTTCAAATAGTAACTCCTGTAATCCTGTACATTTCTTCTCAAGGTTGGGCAGGAGCTGGGGCATGGGCAGTGTTGGAGACATGGTCAGGTAGAAACTAACGGCCCATGGCTGAGTTTAAATAGGGGTGCTGGGCCTTGGAGCAGAGGGTGTAGGTAGAGACTCCAGTTGGGAAGGGTCAGGATCTTTAAAGTGTATTAGTGTACTCAATGCTCTGAAATAAAGGCAGCCTCTCTCATTTTTATGTTGATGTCTAGTAAGAATGAAGGGAGGGTTTAAATGTCTTTACTTTTCAGTCTTTTTTCTCCTAAGTAGAGTATATTTTGAGAATTAGTAAAACTGTATGTAAAGAAAAACTACTGGAAGGCATGTACTTCATGGGTGGAAAAACGTTGGAATCATCAGTACAGGAAAAGTTTACAGAAGCTAACAGGTTAAGACAGAAAGGATTTTCTGTGAAGGCATAAGATTGTAAAAATGCCATTGTCTTTCCTTCTTCATGTATAAAAGTAATACTGAGATGTCAGATATTTATGGCTACTATGCTTGGTTCTAGCTCCTGAAGGACTTTCAATGTGAGAAAGTTAACTTCAGCTGGGCTCATAGGCTTTTCGTCTGCTAGTTGTTTTCTGTTATAATACTCCATTTTAACAAAACAAATACTCCATTTAAACTTTTATATGAAATACTGCTCTGTGCAGAGAAATTCTTGAGAATAGTTCCATGTGGTGTGTAAATATAGTAATTTGGTTTAATTAGAGGTACTACTTAGAACAGTTCTAAGTCCTCTTGTTATTTATACTCAACCCCTAAAGATCCATGGCTTTTCATGATTACTTTTTCTTTTGCCATTCAATTATTCCACAAGTTTAGAACAAAACTTTTGAAAGAAGGTTTTAGTAGGTTAACTGCTTAGCCAGTTAGCTAACTTGGAGAGGAAAGAAAGACAGCTTGGCAGCAGCTGTTTCAAAAAATGAAAGTGTCTTTAAGGCAGAAGGAAAAGAGAAATGTTTGACAAGAGTGAACTGTTCTGAACACCTGAAAAAGTTGCTTATGTTATGTTGGCATATGTTCTGTCTAGAGAAAACTAGCCTGATTAGGAAGACTAAGTTTAACAGAAAACTCTAAATACTTGTACAGCTGTATCCATCTACAAGTATTCAGATAACATATGTATGATATTTACAACGTAATTAAAAGTTTGGTGGTTTTGCTAACCAATGACTCTGTATGAGAAGTCTTATTTAAGCCAGTGTTAACTGAGGACTTACTATGTCAAGATCAACATTTAATAATTCCTAGTTCAAATAAAAGGAAAATTTTAGTACTTTGTATTCTTGTCTAGTAATATTTAGGTAGTAGCAGACACTAGATTTGTATCTGTTAGATCTCAAATCTAGAAGCTGGTGTTTCTTTGTGCAGTTATATTTTTACAAGAAAAAAACCCAAACCCGTAGAATATTTCTGCTTAGCTACCCTGTTTCATACATTTTTGAATAATTAGGTTTCCTCCAATATATCTGCATAGGGTGTTTACTCGACTTGGAGAAATTTTGTCTTGAATTGCTACCAGTGCACTAATTACTGTTACCTGTAGATGGCAGTCAAACTTTTTCAGCACATTGCTCAGAAACTTGGTCTTCCAAGGCTGTTCCTGCTGTGTGGTTGCTCACAGTAATTTGTTACTCTGTCAGTGATGGGGAATGGTGATTCACAGTATTTGACCTTCATTTCACTGTTGGTGTCTCTAGAGCTTTCAGCGTTAATGGAGCATTTGTAGCGTATTCAAGAACGGATGTTTCACCAAGTGTTTTGTGAAACTCCTTGGAAAGACACAAGAGGCTAAATATTTCTGAAAAGCTTTTCATTCCCTTCCATTCTGTTGTTTACTCAAAGAATCATGATGTCTCCAACAAACATTATTTCTTGAATCATTAGTTAGTCTTGGTATTTTGTTTGTTTAACCAGCATAAGTTCATGCAACAATACCTTAAATTCACAAGCAAAAAATTACTGGGTTGAGATTTTCAGTTTCCAAGTAAATTTAAGTAAAGATTTAGATATTTAAAAAATTAAAGTATAATAAGAACATACTTCATAGTGTATCCATACAGCCATGCTAATTGATAATGTTCTTCTTTTCAAACAACTATAAACCTAGATTACAGTCTTAATAGGAACCATTGCTTATGACTCCCATGCTTTGCTTTGGAATTCCAAGGCAGAAATACATTAATAAGCACTCTGTACGTGGCTTGTGCAGGTATATTCAGCTTGATGTATTTTGTCCACATTAAATTTCAGTGTTTCAGTAAATTTCATAGGCCATTTCTGCAGCATATGATGACTATTGCAAATGTCATGAACGTGTGCTGAGTTCTCCATTTAGATTTTTTTGTGTGTGTGCACTGCTGAGCTGCTTCATATATGTGCAGTAGCTATTTCCCTGAAATATTTGAGCATTCCCAATCTGTTTACAGCAATAATTCTATGATTCTATGAATAATTTTGTACAAATGGCCTTCTGGCCACTAATGAAAATTAAAGTTTAATGGTTAAATAGAAAAAAAGGCATATGTGGAGTCATCCTATTTTTGTCTAAAAAGCATTTATTTTCTAATTTAATCAGTCCTCAAGATACAGTAGCACTTAGCACCATCATCCATCAGTGTAATATCTGTAACAATGACCAAGTTGACAAGCCAAATTCATCCTACTGTTAACTTTGATAGAAATGCATG